GGTCCACCGCAGGCAGCACACCCAACCCAAAGTGCCAAACCACATCTTGAATATTGCTCGATAGCCAGCTGTGCGTTATAGCACCCAAAGAAAGCTCGTTTTTGTTTTCTCTTCACAACCTCTGTTTAACCAAAGTTCCCCCGATAGTTCTGTTTTTTGAGTTTTGAGTTCCATCCCCTTTGGCTCCCGTGGTAGTAAGACACAAGTGGCCTTGCGGCATGATCCTCCTGTAACTGTAATACTCGAATGGTCATCTTTAAGGGACTATATGTGTCTGCCAATACTATACCGGGGAGCAGATATTCCTACCACATTTCTCTCGCGGCAGACCGGGTTGTACTTACCTAACTACGATGATGTTAGCACTCAAGAAGAACCTGACCATTTGTGACTTAAGTTGTCGTGCTGTTTGATACGGATATGCAAGGGAGTTTGTCATGAACCGGAAACGCCCTATGAAGAGATTCATAGGAAGCATCATCGTACATAGTACAAAAAACGGAATTCCAGGCCCCTAATTATCATCTTTTTTACGGACTCCAGCTCCTTTTTCTAACTCTCTGTATTTGCTTCTTTTGCATTGTAGTTTATTTCTAGAATACTAAGGCTCTTGACAACAGCGATGCATGCATACAACATATCGGTGAAGGGTAGAGGCTAAATCATTTAAATTTGTGCAAGTTAAGTTACGCCTCTGAGATTTTTGCGTTCACCAAAAAAACGTTGAGAACAGCAGCCAGGCTCTTCTCGTCACTGTGGTATATTGCGACGTCGCCTGCGTAGGCCGCCACTTTGATGATGCAACTGTGGGGGAGCTACGGTTTTAGCACGCATGTGGCTGTAGGTACCTGAATAAGGAGAGGATATGGTCAATTTAAATAACAGCGGGGCATTCCACGCCAAGTCCCAGTCATTTTGGCGACCATCTCAAATGTATACGAAAAAAAACGTGCTGATTTACTGCATATAAACCAGTGAACTGCTAGAATATTTCGGATAGAAAACAATTCTTGGTCACGTGGTTGCCTTTTGAACTTCCTAAAATGTCGTTTTGGTGTTGTTTGAAGACAGAATTATTTTAAAAGTACCGCTCCTTCTTTCTACGCCAAATTTGGTCTACATGTTAGGTAAAGGCGCTTTTTTAAGAATTGAGGAGAGCGTTACATCAGCTGGTCGGTTAGTAGATTTTAAGCGCGTGATTTGCGTTGTACACGAACAATAATGTAAAGAGTTTTAAGAGAAAAAAGCTTCCAACGCCACGGATAGTACTGAGGATGGTTGCGTACTTGAACGTGCAGATGACCCTACGGCAGCGATGGGCTAACCATGCAATGACTGAGCCCGAGCAGCGATACCGGTGATGTTGTCTAGCGAAAATCCTGAACTAGACACTAGATACCCATAGTTAGGTATATATGCGCGAAGAGAGGAATTTTCGCATAGATGAGCTGAAAAGTGAACAAATATCTGAAACTTCTGTAGAATGGACACACGCCATCGAAATTGCGAAAAATTGTTGGGGTGCTTACATGAGTTGTACGGTAATTTTAACATTTTACTTCGAACAAACATTGTTCATATTTGTGTGCTGTTAATTTCTTCGTTGACAGCAAGTTTTGTTCTGTTGAAGTTTTTTTAATTCATTGATGGCATTGCTGCCGATTTTTAAATGTTCTTCTCCAATGGCCAATGTGTACCCTAGTTTAATATGCGCGCAGGAGAGTTGCTTGTTGGGCAAGTAGGTGCACACTTAGTAACTACAAAAGAGGGCACAAAACGTCCCTGTTCTCAGTCTGTGGTTTTGCCGCTCTGCTTTTTTTTCGAACTTCTACGTTTTCTGGCTTCTTTTGTAGTTTATTAAAAATGAATATGCCCCATTTGCTTGCTTGCTTGACCCTTTACAAGTGACTTGTACCCACTACAGGGGACTGTTGATTTAAACCAGTGGTTAAATCATAAGTATTTCGAAAGTTTAGATGACGAAAATGAATTCCTCGGTGGTGTAATGATGAACCAAGCATAGGATTTTAAATGTATTATCATCACATTAGCCAGAAGTCCAAAAACATAACTGTATTAGGGAATAGCTTAACAGTTTATTCTCTTGTTAAACTGGTGTTATGCGCAACATCGTCGCCACCATCATCACTTACATGTGCTAACCAGCAGGGTATATTTATTAGTTTCAAACCGGAATACATCAAGAATAACTATTCTTCATAATTGTCATCGTAACCAAAAGCATAATTGAATTTTTGAAAGTCTGATCCACCCTACTTATTTCCTAACCTCATAAGTGGGTAGGTATCAATAATTCCAGCCATGTGACCATCATCATCATGTTTGGCTGGTAATCTGAACGGGACAAGTAAGAAGAAGAGGTCGAAAAATGGCGATGGACTACTCTTTAAGGATGGTTGCGCATCGTCAAAGTGCAAACAAACACGTGGTGTCCCCCAAGGCGCTGTATTATCGCCAGTTCTATTTAACATCTTAATGAGCACTATACCGCATTGCCAGGACGTGAAGGTGTTTGTATATGCTGATGATATTGCATTTTTCACGGCACATAGTGACATATATTCTTTATATCAAACGCTACAGGGATATGTCAATATGCTGGAGACATGGCTAGATGCAGTCTGCATGACCTTAAATGTAAATAAGAGTGCAGTATTGATATTCCCGTTATCCGATCCCATCTCAATTTCAATATGTTATAAACAAGAGCCCATTCCACAGGTGCAATCTCTCAAATATTTGGGAGTAACTTATAATGCCAACCTAAACTGGACTCCTCCCATAGAAAGCATGGCATCTAAAGCACAACGCGCCTTAGGAATTCTTCGTAGACTGAGCAGCCGCCGATAAGGTCTACGCAGAAGCACAATGGTGATGATCTATAAAATTTATATGCGACCAATCCTAGAATTGGGGTGCGTATTGTTCTCACATGGCCCTGCCTATAAAATAAAGCCTCTGGTTATGCTGGAACGAGAAGCCTTGAGATTGTGTCTAGGACTTCTGAGGTTTGTAAGAAACAACGTTTTGTATCAGGAAGCACGATTACCTACATTACCTTGCCGTTTTCGTATCCTAACGGTTCAGACGTTTCTGAAATTTTATAGCTATGCGCCAAGACGATCTGAGTATGATTTTATAAATGACCCAGACAGCGTTTTTCTTGCCCATTGTCCACGCTTTCGAACACCTCAAATTGCTTTTGTCCAGAAACAACTAGATAAGTTAAATGTAAAAATTCGAGATGTGATTGCTGCGCAGGATACAAATCAAATTCTTAAGATTGAATTCGATGAGATTTTTCCCTCTAAGCCCAAATTACAATCCTATAGGGTCTTAAATAGCCGACTGCAGGATTATCTTGCACACACGGAAACGAATAATATTATAGCCACAGATGCTTCAGTATTGGATGAAAAGACAGGTGTAGGTATATACTCACATTCGCTTGACTGGTCTTTTTCATTAAGATTACCGGATTTCACCCCAGTTTTTGAAGCTGAGCTGTTGGCAATAGTTCTAGCGCTGCGAAAGCTACCTTTGAATGCCGCTAATGCGATCATAATAACGGATTCCCTGTCAGTACGTACGTCGATTACAGCGTCAACAAAATCGATGGCCTTAAAGACGCTCCTTATGCTAGTTCCTCCTCAGCTGCAGCTACTAAAATTAGTATGGGTACCCGGTCATTGCGGCTTAGAAGTAAATGAAATCGCCGACTCTCTAGCACGAGCAGCATTGGAAGGGCCAGTACTATCAGTCCTTCCCGAAGTGGCCACTATAACGGCGACAAGATACAGAAAGCTTGCGCTCAGTGCAGACGCTATGGAAGCAATATTGTCAACACCAGAATTTACTCACTTAAGATTTCCATGGAAAAGTCATTGGTGTCCTACAAAACAGTTGGAAACCATAATGACCAGATTTCGATGTCGTGTCCCCCAGTTAAATTTCTATTCACATAGGGCTGGTCTGGCGATATCACCACTATGCAACTTTTGTTCAGAATTGGAAACAATAGAGCACTATTTTTTATCATGTCGCCGATACAAATTGCTCAGGAAAACATTCTTAGCCCTCTCATTCGCTAGCCTGGGGTTGAATTTCACTATAGAAAACATACTTTCCTTTGGTGCTTACGATCTGGGCTTCAGCCACGAGAACGTTTTCTACGCAGTTTGCAAGTACCTGAATGAAAGTAAAAGAATTAAGCTTTGAATGGCGTGATTTTTAATCATGCAAAAAAATAAGTCCAACGAACACAAGAGCATTGTTTAACCATGCTGAGTCTTATTCAAAGTAATGAATAATTGTCTTATCTGCACGAGTGACAAGCAACTATTGCACTCCTTTCATTCTGACTAGGGTGTCTTTTCTTTTTTCTTTTTTTTTCTGGTGGGTGGTTTCGATAATAAAAAAACCTACTTAATTAAGTCATCGATTCTTGGCCAATCCCCCGGAGTGGGTACGAGCCATGTCTGTGGATTCATCATCATCATCATCGACTACTCCGAGGCTTTCGAGCTTGACGAGACTCTTCTTGTGTACTGGGACCCGAGGTACATGGCGTACTTCTACCGAGGCGTGATGCCTTCGCCGACGGGCGAGCAGGCGCTGGAAGCACTGTACGCGTAGCCCGCAATCAACGTCTTCCTCCCAGTCGCTCCCGCCGCTGTGCCTCCCATTCTGGTGAGCCGAGACGCCGAAGGAAACAGGCTCCGACCCGGCAGACCCAGCGACGGCAAGCGGGTTCGCTGGCTGTTCTGGCAGCAGAGGCTTGGAGGCAAGGACGAGTGGGACGTGCCTTGCAGCGTGCGTGCCCTCAGCTTCGCGGCCATCGCACTGGGCATTCTCACCGTCTTCGTTGTCGCTGCACTCTGGGTCACTGTCAGGAACCAGAGGGAAGCGTCGGAGGCAACGTCATCGAAGGAGACACTAGACACTACTGAATATCCGAGGGTAATCAAGCCTTTTAACGGTCAGCGGAAGCAGTCACCGGTGCAGTCGGCCCCCGCGCAGTCCTTGGACGCAAGACGCAAGTCGAGTGCGCCGTTGTTCCGGGTCACTGTTGCTGCATAGACGTTGTTGAAGACGCAGTCGATATTTCATTTGCGAAGACGAACTTTTATAGTGTTTAATAACAAGCTCAATGAAATACTTGTTCTTAGTTCTAATAAACAATAATGCTCGCTGAAGTAGTGAAAATAATAGTATGCATTGCACTTTTTTTTTCATTTCTGATGCCACTCGAGGGCCCTCCTCAATGGCATCCTCATTCAACATTCCGATATTATGCAACCTTGTTTCGTCTGACGAACTGTGAATCCCAGTTTAGCTAGTGATCTCCACTTCACCTCATTCATCAAAACCAAGACAGGCCTTTCAGTTTTCATTGGCCGCAAGTACAAACTTTTTTGGCCAACAGATTTCGGGTGTGCGTCAGCCGCGAGAGTGCTCACCTCAAAAGACTGATTAAACCGGCAAAAATGCTTTATTATCGGTGCTCCTTTAACTTGGCGACGTCGATTTTATTCCTTAGAATTTCGCGCCACTGGGATATAGGATACGTGTCATCTGGGTATTCGAGGCAGGCAGTTACCGCTTCTGCAGAGGTCTACATGCATATTCCTTAAATGTTTAGCCTCATATATTACGGACTAAAATGCGACATCAGATCGAATGGAAAAGCGACTGATATGCTCCATCACTTCAGATATGTACGTCATGACGAGTCTGGCCTTTAAAATAATGTTGGCTCCTATATATGCGTTCGAGTCAAAATTAATATGACGCGCATTATAGACAGTGGGAACTGAAAAATGTGCGTTACTTATCTATAAATTCTCCCGTGTCAAATCGCGAGTACGATACTGCAAAATAAAAAAAAATGCTGGACTTTTGAGCTTTTCCTTTAATAGTTGAGCGCGATAGCTATATCCTGTCGTTATAGTACTTACTTCAAACACTCAGTGCACGGAATCTTTCGAGCTTGCTGTGCACCAATTACGGGGCCTTAATTAAGGGAACAGACGAAGTAACGCGAGTAACTTTTGTAGGGGGTGACCTGCTTTAAATCATGCAGTCTTTATGGCAATCGCATGTTCTGATACCCGATGGCAATGTATATAGCTTTAGTAGGTATTGAGATAAGCCCAATAGCCACAATGCTTTGCGAACAAGCACTGAAACTCATTGTTGACCTACCTAGCAACAAATACTAAAAAAACAAACGCCTTAACGTTACATGAGGGTATCGGACAGCTAGCGTGCTGGAGAGACCAAGATTACCGTTAAGGTGATCAAAAGCCCCGTCAGCAGTCGGGCAGACGTCATACTTGGATGGTGCAGGTAGGTATGAAGGGCAACCTTAAAAGCTCCTTTTGTTTGTTAGACACAGTAATGAGAAATAAAAAAAAACTGATCACAGTTTGTAACCGCTCTGATTATACATCGAGAGTTTTAGTGCGCTAACGTTAAAGATACCAAAGCCTAGAGCACCGTGGAAATGGTGAAAAAGTGTTGTTGTGCTTCCTTGCACGCCATGAATCTTCCAACATGGCATATTGTGGCAGAAGTAATGTTCATTACTCCAGCAAGGTTTATGACACTGAGATTGCTGCAGCTGCAAATTCGAACGATAAAGGCGACATCTCAGAGTGGGCAACTTTTTGGGAGCAAATTGAGCAGATTCTTTCCTTCGACAACGACCTGAGGCCATTCACACAGTTCTATTACCTGAAGAGCTTCGTATCGGGCGACGCAGCAACCGCAATCGCGGGCTTGCCCACGATCAGATCTTGCTATGCCGATGCCATAGCAATGCCGAATGAAAAATTTGGCGATAAAACGGCCACTATTCAGTACTATGTGATGTCCCTGAGAAATTTTCCAAGTTTGACATCGGCTAGTGACATCTCTGGGGTACAAAGACTACGATGCCATGCCACTGAATATTTGCTGCCTATGAGCCCTGGCCATGCCGGCTCGGACATAGTCAGGTATGCTCCCTGATATCTTGCAGACGGCTCAGATGAGAAAACCGGCACCGTGCCTTGACACAACTAACCGAAATACGTGCTGCTAAAGCTCTACGTTGGACACACCAGCAGAGGCGTCAGCTGGGTCGGACGCTCAGCTAAATGACCTGATATGAGAGACGTCGGAGTGGAGGGCTCTGGACATGATTATGAGAGACGCCGTAATGGAGGGCTCCGGAAATTTCGACCACCTGGGGTTCTTTAACGTGCACCCAAATCTGAGCACACGGGCCTACAACATTTCCGCCTCCATCGGAAATGCAGCCGCCGGAGCCGGAATTCGAACCCGCGACCTGCGGGTCAGCAGCCGAGTACCTTAGCCACTAGACCACCGTGGCGGGGCAGCTGCAAAAACATAAGCGGTGCTTCCACTTAACGTGAAAAGACCACCGAGCGAAGGATTGCCGCGTCAAGTTTACTTGCAGTTTCTATCAGAGAAGACACGCTTCATACACGCGCGATCGCAGTTACACGAGGGCTTTGAGGACTACAGGGACCTCAGAAAGTGCCACAGTGTGCATTTCTTCAAACGCTTTTTCGTCCAGCCAAGACGTATCATCCACAAGGCAACAACCAAGAGAAAACGCGCTTTATGTCAAGACATTCCGCACCGATTCGGTCAACAGGAGGCAATGTGTTCGAGGTATTGCGGTTGGCGGAAACCAAAAAAGCTTCGGTAATGAAGACGTGGCTCGTAAGCTTAACCTGAAGGTGGTAAGGAAGACACGGTTAGCATTCTATACCTTCGGAAGCGATTGCTTTTCAGCTCCAGAATAGTGAAACGTGGTTGAAACGCGGCTGCGAAGCGGACTCAAGAACGTTGACTTTAGCGTAGAAGTAGATCACGTTCCAGCATGGTGTTATGATGGCTCCGGGCTCAGTTATTCCGTGCTCGTTAACGTCGAAACGTTCATAGGTTTTAGGCCATCGCGATTTAGAAGTAGAGATTGAGCTTTTGAAATTATTGACATCAAAAGATGTATACTTGAAACGCGTAGACATATCAGTTCCTGCTCAGCAATAAACTTGTCTGTGCGTCTTTCAATCTGAGCGAGCCCAACTAAATCGGCTCTTACGCAAAGCGTATAAGGTGGCATTGGGTCTCCCCCGAAACACATCGACAGAGCACCTCCTCAGTCTTGGGCTGCATAACACCTTAGAAGAACTTCTTGAAGCGCATCTTACGGCGCAAATTCACCGATTACAGGGAAGCAGGACGGGGCGTTGGATCCTTGCTAACATTGACCATGTGGTATCTCCTACGGGTAACGATCCGGCTGTCATCCCCCCCAACATCAGAAAGAAATTCCTCATAAAACCACTGCCAAAGAACATGTTGGCCAGCCATCACGACGGTAGAAGGAAAGCGAGGGCCAAATTCTTGCAAAAAACGTACGCGTCCAACCCAACCGTTGCGTACGTTGACGCCGCCCAATACCGAGAGTTTACTAAAGCATATGCAATAAGCGTAATCACTCTCCCCGGCAACAACGCCAATTCACCTCAAATTAAAGCGGCTGCTTCTGTCCGTGTGCTTAATACGACAGAAGCTGAGGAAGCGGCGATAGCGCTAGCAGCAGCATCCGGATTCACCACTATACTCAGTGACTCAAAGGCTGCTATATCCAACTTCGCACGTGGCATTGTGGCCCCCACAACTCTGCGTTTACTATTGCCCAGTCTCCTTACAGATGCTGAGGAAGACGCACTATCCTCCATTGCGCTGGTATGGGTGCCGGCTCACGCGGGGAACCCAGGGAACGAGGCGGCCCACCAATATGCTCGAGGATTCGTCAGCCGAGCGGTGGTACCCGCCTCTGATTTGGAAAACCCTGGTGAAGCCTTGACATCCTACCATGACATCACACAATATTACCGTCTTTCGAGGCAGACAAAACCACCCCCGCACCATAAGCTAACTAAGCGCCAGGAGGTTATCTGGCGCCGCTTGCAAACACATTCATTTCCGTGCCCATACATTTATGCACGTATATACCCCGACTCGATTGATCCGCATTGCTCGCATTGTGGCTCAATAGCCACACTTAATCACATTCTCTGGGCCTGCAGGGAAGATCCCCCCTCTCTCGATCTCCTAGCCGCTCCCTCGCCAGAGGGGTGGGAGGCAGTTATGACCTCCACCAGCCTGGCCGTTCAGCTCCAGGCCGTACAAAGGGCAGAGGAGGTGGCCATCAGGTTCAGCCTGGCGGGTCACCTACCTCCTTAAGTCTGACGACAATAAAGTTGTGTTCTCTCTCTGTGCGTCTTTCGGTTCCTCTTACACGCAATACTAATCGACGCAATCGAAAATAAATGAATGATAATACACTTTCGTGGCGTGGTGTCGCTTTAGCCGGAACCCACCCTCAAACCCACCTCGAGAACAAACCCACCTACGAAGGCAGTTGCCTTAACCACTGGACTTTACGTCTAAAAATTCAAAACGTGAATGCAGCTGAACAAAATGATTGCGTTGTACGCGCGGCATAAAAGAAACCTGGCAACAGCTAAATAAAACTGTATGCCGTAAAGGCTGTAATGTGGACACCCATGATTTTACATTTAAGAAAAACTGAAACGTTGCAAACGTTTGAAGAGAAGTGCAAGTTTTATTGGGCGCGGAATAGGCTTGCCGTGAAGTTCTTCAAAATGATGATGAGAGCTAAAGAGAATTGCAGTCGCAATAGGCAAGAAACAATCTTGTAGGAAAGCATAGCACCGACAATAAAACTCTAAGCGTGGGCACCACGTAGACCAATCGGCTGCATTATATTACCTTGCCAAGCTGACAGACAGTCAGCTATTACTAGCTGAACACTTATTTGAAGTATGCAATTAGTTCATGGTTAGCTTACTCATTGTCAGGCTTTCTTTTATTATATTATCTTTCAGCAGACGATTTGATTGCTGCAGTGTTGCCGCAACAGTTGCTACTGGACAGTGGTTGAGTTTTCTGTGCGGTAGACTGAGACAAGACCTGAAAACGAATCCCCATATATAATCACTTCTTCAAGTACACGATTCTCTTTGTCTA